AGTAAGGAAGGGGGGGTGGATTTTACCAATGACAAAAATAATACAGTCCGCATGCCAGAATGTCGCAACTTTATCCCAACCCAACAAGCCACACTAACCTGAGGGGAAAGGGGAGAGAAATCTGTTGCACGAGTTTCCAACGACTATTGACTGCACTTGTTATGCAATAAAGGCAGTGTCTAGAAAGAGCTGAAGGAGTCCATCTTTAAACTTTCATCTCAGTTTATAGGTGCACTTCTTTGGATATTTACCTCAAGTGGGGCCATGGTGAAGGAACCTTCCATTTTCAACCAAGACACTTCCTAGTTTATTTTTGTGTGCCATGCTATAAAAATAAATGAAGTTCTCATTTGAGACAGATTAGAGGAAATGCAACAATAAGCTATCTCAAGAAAAGCTCGGGGCGAGGGAAGAGGTGCTATGTACACTACTTTTGTGGCACACATGAAGAGCAAAAAACAGGCACTTGTGCACACAGTTCTCTGGCTGCCACCACAAATGTGAGGACAATTGAAAGACTTGCCTATCAGTCTACTCCTGGCAGGATGTCACCCCATTTAGCCTGGCCTTTGACCCTTGAGAGGTGTGTTTTCAGAGCCCACCCTACCTGTGACTGTAACGTGTTCTGTTTTTAATTCTGAATATTATATTGCTTTAAAGGTAGAAGGTAAAAGGTAAAGGACCCCTGGACAGTTAAGTCCAGTCAAAGGCAACTATGGGGGTTTGTTGTTCATCTCATCTGTTTTGGGAAGTTCTTAATGATTGATGTTTTAATGTATTTTTAATCTTTTGTTGGAAGCCACCCAGAGTGGCTGGGGAAACCCAGCCAGATGGGTGGGGTATAAATAAATAAATAATTATTTATTTATTTATTATTATTATTATTATCTCATTTCAAGCCGAGGGAGCTGGCATTTGTCCACAGACAGCTTTCTGGTAATGTGCCAGCATGACTAAACCACTACTGGCACACAGAGGACTGTGAAGAGTGCCAGACCGCACGGAAACGCTGTTTACCTTCCTGCCACAGCGGTACTTATTTATCTACTTGCACTGGTGTGCTTTCGAACTGCTAAGTTGACTGAAGCTGGGACAGGGAGCTCACCCCGTCGCGTGGATTCGAACCACCAACCTTCCGATCGGCAAGCTCAAGAGCCTCAGTGGTTTAGAGCGCAGCGCCACCTGTAACCTATCCTGGCACCTGCTCGTAAAGGCCAGTAATGCAAATCATCAATAGTGGTAACATTTCTCTTTTTGCACATATGACTGGGTCCCTGCCCTTGAGGAAAAGGGGATATCTGACATTTGGGGAAATTCCCCAGCCCACAGTCAACACAGAAGCAGCACAACGTCCCTTTTGCTGTTGTTCCATGACAGAAAGCATGAAACTTTTCCATCCACTCCAACCCTAACACACTCTCTGACTGCTCCGACCAGCCAGCAATCTCCCTTGCAGAGGCAGTCAATGCTCATAGACTTCTACATACAAACCTGGTTGCATACCACAAAATAGCAGTTATTCTCCCAAAATGACCACAGGTCAGTCCTAAACCCAGAAGCAAGTCCCACTGAGTTAAATGAGAGTTTGCGGCACAATCCCGTATGTGTTTATTCGGGAACAAATCCCACTGTGTTCAAGAGGTGTAATTTCCAGGTGAGTGTGTGAGAGATTATACCATAATCTTTACAGCCTCAGTTCCAATAAAGTGTGGTTAGGACTAAGGTGAGGCTACTAAGAACTTGTCACTCTCTAGGCTGGAGGTTCATAAAATAATTTAAAGCAAATTAAAATGGGGATGGGTAGAGAACATGCTTTGCATGCAGAAGGTTTTGGATTCAAACCCTGGCATCTTCAGATGGTGACCTGGAAAGAACTCTTTCTGAAAGTATGGACAGCCAATGGCAGCCAGGGTAGGTCACAGGTGGCAAACCTATGGCTCTTCAATGCTGATGGACTAGAATTCCAATTATCCCTAACTACTGACCATGCTGGACAGAGGCAGAACCCAACAATATATGGAGGGCCACTGATTCCCCACCCTCTGATGTAGTGATAGAAACTCAGATATATAAGCTAGGAGCCAAATAGCTTCTTAAACCAGGGTTACAGTCGCCAGAACAGAATGCCTAGTGAATATTGAACACTGGATGTAGACAATACTTAGCTAGACCAACCAATGGTCTGAAACTGAATCATGGGTGTCAACTTGAATATGGGGGTTCAGGTAAGCCCTGCCCCATGTAACTGATCACATGACGTGGCACACACACACACACACCCATTTGAATGGCAATGCCCATCAATTTAGGGGGGGGCATCAAATATTTTATGAGGGAGGGGGGCGAAGGAATCTCAGCCCCTAGGAGTTGGCTCCTATGAACTGAATCATTACAAGGCTGTTTCCTGTGCGCCTGACAACTTACTGAATGGCCAAATCACAGTGAGGAAGATTCAAAAACAGTTAAAACTTCCAGTCTCCTCTGCCCTCGATGCATATGCACACAGACTAGGGATTCTCATCTGTGTTGATAACCGAGCATATAAATTCACAGGCCAACAATAAAGAACTGATACTAGGTCAGGCTGGGATCCTGTTCGTGTGGCGACAGGTATTATGGGTTAAGGTGCTCCTCACTTCCACGTGCAGAACCATTTTTCACTTCCCCGTGCTCACAAAGCAACTCACAGGAAGGGCATTATTACAAGCGAACCTGTTCCTCACTATCAGATTGTGCATAGTTTATTCCAATGCTTTTCTCACTACTCAGCGATGCTTCAATGTCTGAACGCCAGTGAGAGAGAATACCTGTCACGCCCGACGAAAAGTATGTGGAGCTACAGAACATGCCCACAGGCATCAAGGAACGTCGCAGCAAGCGCTCGCAAACTTCTGCTTTCTCAAGAGTCCCGCCGAAAAAGTCAGTTCCATTGGGTCGCCCCTCTTTTCACAGGAAACAGGGGTTGTGATGCCCTGTGCTACAGTCAACAGAGTTCGCCCCTTGGGATTTATACTTTTACTTTCCCAGCTCTGATCCATACAAGTAATAAGTGAAAAAAGTGAAAAGGGTAGCATGGAGACCACTTTCAACTGTCTGCAAGAAACTTAACACACTAAGGAACATCAGAAGCTGCTATATAGTGAGTCCAATTGGTCCATCTAGCTCAGTTTTGTTTCTACGGCATTGTCTTGCCACAGTGCTCCAGGGTTTCTGTTGCACTAGCTTCTGCTTCCATGGATGTTTTTGTTTTCTTTTGAGGTGTGCGCCCTTTGCATGGGGGAGAAGAGCCATCCTAAATGCAAGCCCACCACCATCAGTTTGAAGTGGTGGAGGCTATTTGGCCACCTTGAGATGCTACCATCTCATTCTGTTGCAGATCAGATGAGAAGATGAGGGTGAACATTTTCTCCTCTTTCAATGCCTTCTTATGGGTTATCTAAGCCATTTTAGATTATGGCAAACAGGACATCAAGGGTTAATGGCAGTGTGATCCTATATATGGTGCACCATATCAATATCCTATATATGATGCACAAGAAAACTTGGGTATACTGTGTCCTGGAAGTCAACATACAAAGGAACATTTTGTGTTCTCATATGGTTTAGCAGTGAGGACCTTTCATCCTGGAACTTCTCACAAAGCAGTTATTATTACTATTATTAATTAAATTTGCATACCGCCCTGTCTAAAGCAGCCTCTGCCAGCCAGGTGCCCTCCAAATGTTTCAGACTACAGCTCCCATCAGTCCCAGGCAGCCTATTGGAGTCAAAGTCCAAAATATGTGGAGGACACCATCTTAGCGAATGTTCTCCAGGAGCTGCACAATGAGAAGTGCCCAACCTTCGAGGCAAAAGTTGCTTAGATCCCAGGACAGCTTCAAACCCAAAGAGCTGCTTTAAAAGTACTGCATGGTGATCAAGGGCACCTTCGCAGTACAACCCTATACGGGGAAGCAAGTGTAGGGTTGCAAACTAAGCCCCCTCTTAAGTCTCCGTGCAGCAGTTTGCATGAATGTGAGCTTGTCGTGAGTAGAAGGCAGGCAACCAATGCTTTATTTTTTAATTCACTTGTACGATCTGGCTAATGCAGGTTTTCCATTCAAGCTGGAATCTGGTTTAAGCAGATGCACGTGGGTGTCTGTGTAGCATCACAGTCCTCAAACTGGGCTTCACCTCTCCTAGCCTTGGGAAGCGTTTGGAGCCCACGACCAGCTGGCGGAGAAACCAGACTGAGGCTGTAAAACCTGTGCACGCTCATTGAGCATTAGTCCCATTGAATGCCATGGGGCTTACTTCTGAGTAAGGAATGCCACCCCCAGAGAGACTCACCTGGTGCCTATGCTTCTTCCTGCTCCCCCAGGCCTTTTACAGGTAATTCCAATCCACAGCTGCTTCAGGGCTGTTACTGTTGCTTGCACCATGTTACCCCCTTGCAAACTTGCTTTAATGGGGATGGACTTTGCTTGGGGGGGGGGTTGCTTCTCTCTCCAAGGGCTTTTGTTTTATTTTGCACTGCACTTCAAAATACATTTTTCGTCGTATTTTATTGCATAACCTTCCAGGCAGTTTGGCTTATAAAATGTAAACACGTTTTCTTAAAAGGGGTTGCATTGCACATAAATCCCTCCCTAGGAAAAAGGCGGCTGCCAAAGTGTCAGGGCACGGCTTCCCCATTGCTCTCACCCTTTTCCACCCCCCACCCCCCAAAAAAAGAGCCGTTCCCCAATTGTGGCTTTTGAGTGACAGGCATGAGCGCATTCCTTTCGTGCCCCACCCCCCTCCCAACCTGTTGCTGCAAAAGAGAGAGCTCGCGCTGCAAAGGAGATAACATAATCCTTGGGATGGGGGGGGGGTGGAGGAGAGGTGCATCAACTTCTCCATAGCTCTTAACTGGCCAGAGAAAAGAGGAGACAATAACAACTCGCTTTTCAGTGCTAGGAATTGAGCCGGGGGAAAGGAGAGGGAGACAGAACGAGATCGACCAGGCAGGCGCAACTTACTGGGATGTGGACTCGCAGAAGGCGCTTCTTCTGGCCGCTGCTCTTCTTGCCACCGGGCGCTGCATCTTTCTTCTTGGTGTCCATAGCGGTGCTTCCCATCTCTCCGATGTCCCTTCCGACGGGAAGGTCGGAGGAGAGGCCCGCGGGAACCGGCCCGGCCAGGTCTCTCCTCCAGCCAGGCTCTTCGGCTAACCCTCTCCAAGCTCCTCCGTGCCAAGTGATGGGTCGTTTGAGCTCCTCGTTTTATATTGCGTTGTTTTTCCAGAGCCTTTGGCTGTAAAGAGGGACGTCTCAAGCTTGGAGGGAGGGGGGTGTTACGACCACAGCGGCTGCTCCGGGTCCTCAAGGGCACGGGATGGGTCTGGGAACGAGAGGCGGAAGAAGGCGCCTCGCATCGTGCAGGAAAAAAGCGCAGTGGTTGGAAGGCGGCGAGAGAGCTAGCCAAGGTGGGTGAAAAGCTCAGGCTGCAGCAGGGAACTCCTGGGCCGATTCAGAAGCAGCCCGCGCTTCTGGGCGGCTGCAAAAGTTTCCTTCCCCCTGCGCAGCAGGAGATGGGCATGTCCTCTGAGTCAGCGTGCCCGGAGGGCGAAAGCAAGGAGGTGCACCCAACACAATTGAGAGTAATCGCGCAGATTAATCTGAATGCGGAGGCTGTTTTGCAGAAAAGCAGCCCCCCCCCCTCTGCTCTGTAGTGCCAAGTCTGGGCTCCAGTGCCCAGGTCCGCCCCAGCGCCAGCCACCACTACGGAGGAGGAGGAAGAGATGCAATTCGCGTTGAAGAGCTGGTTTCCTTTCGCGCTGCAAAACAAGACTCTCAGGCAGGCAGGCGGCTGCAGTTTGCAAACACAAGTGACCCGGAGAGGGAGGGAGGGAGGTGAGCAGATCACCCAGCACTGCTTGCGGTTCCCGTTTCGCGCTCTGCAAGCGAGGACGCTTTCTGACAGCTGCTTGCACAAGATCCAAGCGAAAGGAGCGCGCGCGAGCGAGCAAGGAAACCCAGCCGGGGAAGGCAGTCGCCAAGCTCTGCGCGCGCGTGTATATATATATATATTCCTCGCAATCGAGGAGAAGGGAGGAGGACGCTGCAGCCGAACAGGAAGTGCAAAATCACGAAAGACAACTTTCTCTCCCCCAACGCAGAGCGCGCGCCCCGCCCCGCGGCCCACGCCCCTCCGCGCGTCTCCAGAACCAAGGTCGAGCCGAGGAAGGATCTCGGCGGGGGATCCCGTCTTCAAGGACATCCCCGGGGCTGCCTCCTCCTCTTGATCATCGCCTGAGCAGATGGAGCCAAGATTGGGGAGGAATCGCTTGATCCCGCTTTGAAATCGGGGCTTAGCTGCATAGCCATGCTATATGCCACCCTCTTTTAAAAAAAAATTAAATAGGGAAAAGGGCATCAATATTCTTCCCTACGAGGAGCAAACCCCCCCCCCCCGGTAATAATAATAATAATAATGCTTGGATGCGTGTAGTTTGAGTTTTCCTGCGCTGCAAACGTTGTTGGTCTGGGTAAGGCGGCGGGAGAGCCGCGATTGTGCACAAACACGCTTTCTGGGTTCGCAGAAGGAAGGCGGCTCCTTCCTTCCCCCGCCTCGGGCAAGGCGCCGTTGCGAAAGGCTGCGTCGGTCGTGCCCAAGCTGCCTTCTCTGCCAGAGGCGCTGCCGGCAGGTGGCGCCGGTTGCCGCTGGCCGAGGGCGAAGCCGCAGCTGCAGGCGAAAGGTTTGCACGGTTTGGACACGGAGCTGCTGGCGAAGGCAAGCCTTTGGCCAGCTGAAGCCCTGCCAGCTGTTTAGAACTACAACTCCCATCAGCCCCGGCCTGCGTAGGATGGGATTTGTAGTCCGAAACAGCTGGAACGGCTTCAGCTGGGCAAAGGCGGACGAAGGGGTACACAGCCTCTGCTTAAAAGTCTTATATTTTAAATAATATTTTGGTTACCGCATACCATAGGAATAAACAAGCTTTTTCGTTTTCAAATTACTTTTTTTTTTTTAATTGGCCATGTTCAAATGTGGGGCAGGGCGAAGGTCAAACTAATCCAGGCATGGCCAAACTCGGCCCTCCAGATGTTTTGGGACTACAACTCCCATCATCCCTGGCTAACAGGACCAGTGGTCAGGGATGATGGGAACTGTAGTCCCTAAACATCTGGAGGGCCAAGTTTGGCCATGCCTGATACGAATCCTTTGCTTTTTAAAGGGCCTTTTCACGTGTATGGCGTTATACTCTGTGTGCATGTGTGTGCTTTGTTGCTGTTGAAGGCAGAATACAAAACGAGAGCCATTTTTTAATGGAATATACCTTCCTTGCATGTGTTGAAAATACTGTAGATAGCAAAGCAAGAAGGAGAGGCAAGGCAAATTAAGACAAACTAGAAATGCAGAAGAGCCGTGATCTTCCACCCCAGGGCAAGCTCTGCCATTCCATACATACATAATTTTATTCGTGTGCCACAGTTCCACAGTTCAAACCATGCTCAAGGTGGCTTGCAACAGGAAAAGGACACATAGCTGCAACATAGCGATAGTAGTAATAAACAATAAATTAACTTTTAAAAAATACACAACCAAACTGAACAATTTTCACATGATTCACAACAAGATCTAGATACAAAAAAACCAACAGCAACAACCCCCCAACAGAATATGCACCAGTAATAAAGTGCAAGCAATAAAATATAACTTACAAACATTTAAGGCAACAAAAATGTCAGCAACCTATCTTTTTTATATTAAAAACTGATACTACTCTACAGATTCACTCTTTCTGCTGTCTAAAGGCAAAGGCTAGTCCATTCTCCATCCGAACAAAAAACGTCAGAGAGAGCAGGAGTAAACTCTCAGCCAGGAGCTCTTCCTACATCTGTAATCTCAGCATGTCTTAAACAGGCCAGATAACAGCTTTCAACCATCTTTTCCTAGATTGCAATGTGCACCATTTTGCACTAAACTGGACCACTGGGGCAGCCCTGAGCCTTCACAAACCCTGTGCATCTATTGGTCACCTAACATAATCTTAAGGTCCAAAGTGTGCTCCAGTAGATCTACTTAAGCATGCATTCTCCTTTGAACAAAGCTTCTAGGCTTCAGTGATCTGGAATATTGCCCACTTGCTGCTTGTCCTTTAGCACTAAGATCTAGTTATGGCTTTACATGTGCTATAAACAATTTTGTAGCATGTTGGTGTTCCCATGTCTTTGCTGCAGTGCTTGCCCAGGACAGCTCTGGTGTGCTTACAGCAACCTGCTTCAGGTGGCCCTTTGAATATAATAATAATAATAATAATAATAATAATAATAGATCAGGTGTACCCCTCCCATCTGGCTGGCCTTGCCCAGCCACTCTGGGCAGCTTCCAACAATGATTAAAAATACATTAAAATGTCACACATTAAAAACTTCCTGAACAGGGCTGCCTTCAGATGTTGAAGGGAAAGACAGTTCCATAGTTTTCACTATGCGCTGCATAAAGAATTACTTTCTGCCCTGAATCTTCCAACATTCAGCTTCAATGTGTGCCCACAAATTCTAGTATTATGACAGAGGGAGGAAAAAACTTCTCTCTATCCCCTTTTCCATGCATAATTTTATAAATGTCTGTCATGTCACTCGCCTTCTCCCTAAACTAAAAAGTCCCAAATGCTGCAAGGCAGGCAATTCCTGATTTATTTCTACATAACAGGAAACCACTGCTGAGTGGTTTGTTTATTTCGTTTGTTTCATTAATTTATACAACATAAATTTTAAACAACAACACAAAGCATTTTACAAATAGTAGTGGCAACATGCCTGCATCTAAACCACCAGGATCCATGTCTAAGGAGGTGTTTAATTCTGAGGCCCATTCTACCAGCTCAAAACCCAGGACTTTATGTGCAGATGAAAGAAAGAGGTGGAGGAATAAGAGAGTGCAATGAGAAGTGAAGAAAAGTAATACCACCTACTAAGACAAGAAGCAAACAAAACCCCTTAGAATCTGCAAAGTCTGGACCTGAGCCAAGGATGTCCACCTTTGTGAGGCTATCGGGGTCCTGTAAATGGCCCAGTGTTCTCTCTGCTTGTCTTGCCAACCAAGTTTTATTGAATTGACTGTAGTCATTCAGCATGTTTGCCTTTCGAATCAGCCAGCTGAGAGAGCTGTTCTTAAGGGTGCCTGAGTCATCAAAAAGGCTTCTAGCAAAACAGGGAAGACTAGGCTTCGGTTCCCACTATGGTTTCAATATGACTAACAAAACAGACATTTTAAATTCTTACAGCAAAATGGTTTGGCGTCTGCATTCATCTGCCTTGGAAACGGCATCGTTTTGATAAGAGAAACTGATGGGAGGCAGAAGCCAAACATTTTTCTTATAAAAATATAAAATGTTTGTTTTCTCTGTGTGGAAGTAAGTCTCACTGTGATCAATAGGCCTTATTTCCTAAAAAGATAGGACTGCAGCCTTAAACTTATTAAACTAAATGTACAACACACAATCACAAGACAAGGTCACAACAGATAAAAACTTTCCAGTTCCTTGAACAGCTAAGAATGATCAAACCCACCAAGTCTGCAAGACACCCTGAAATGCCTTAGCAGTACTATTCCCACTGCAAGCCAGCTGCTCTGAAGGGTCTGTCCCATACTATGCATGCACCTGCTTCCTTAAGAGTTGCAACCTTGACTATGCAGAGAGAAGGGCAGAAATGTGAAGGGACCAGGTTGCATATGGATTTCAATTAATGCCTCTCAAGCTGGAAACACTGTGCCTCCAGTTAGCAGAGTACAAACTAAGCAACATCTTCTCCAGTGATTTAGCTTAGTACAAACAAACACTCTCTGCCAATAGTCCTGAACAGTTTAAAGCAAAACCTCAAACATGAAACCATCAGGGGCCTAGAGTAAGGAAATACCATTCCAAAATAAATTGCTTGGTGACTGCCTAATCACTTTTAGAGCAACCCTAGTGCTTAGATTTTAACAGCAATTAGTAATGCATTTTTACTTGTTTTGCTTTTGTTTAGTCCTGCACATGCTTCATAAAGAAAAGCATGATCATTTCAATTTGGGGACAGCAATGTCATATCTGGAAAGGGACCAGTTTTTGGCATGGTAACAATATGATCTTTCAGCACTAGTACACGTGAAGAATACAACCAAGAAGTCATTTGGAAAGAGTTAGGCTGAGTCTGGGTCTTTGCAATGCAGAAACCTGTATTGATATGTCAAAGGAGGGAGGGGGAAAGGCAGAGAAAGTTGGCACATGACAGTTTTTTGTTTGCATTTCATCACAATTTGCCCCCACCCCAGCTACCCTTACATTTGGGTTATGGAAGTCAAATGTTCCCTTATAAAAGACCAGCAGAACATTCCCAGACTTCTTAAAATGTTTACAATATGTTTGCTCTGAGCTTTGGTCACACTGTTTTATACTCTTCATGCCATAAGCAAACATAATGACTAGCTCAGCTTTTACATTTTGATGCATAGTACATAGGAGGATGGTATTCTGCAAAAACACTCTTTTCACCAAGTAAAATCCTCTTTTTGCATTACCTTCTATTATAAATAGAGCTGCCAATACCAGGCATAATTTGCAGCCGATTGTACTTTATGTATTTTCTGTCAAAAATTGCAGCTCTCTCAAAACGCCCCCACACAGTTGCCTCTTGATAAACATTTTCCACACTTATTTTGATTGCATTTCTGAAAGCTGTGTGAACATGAGACTTCATAACAGCCTTACCTTGTCTCTGAGAACTGCCTACATAAAGATCCTGACAAACATGCAGCTTGCTTGACAAACATGTGGAAAACCTTATACCACATCACTGCAGATTGGGTCGTGCCAAGCTGAGCAAATCTGAGATAGGCAGTTCTGTCTCCCTCTGCTTGCTGCAGGCTGCACGAATGGGCCTCTGGAATCACAGGGTAGAAGCTCAAACCAGTATGTGCAAGAAGAGCTTAATAGCAGCAATTTCAATACAGCTGATGGAAAACTGATTTGGATTTAGGACGCCAGGAGGACTGAAGTGGCTTTGGGACTGAC